GGACTGGAACCACCTCTTTCAGCGTGAGCCTGCACGTGGGTCATCTTAGTGATTATGAAGTTATTGCCTATAGATGGCAGAGGAATGTTCTTGCAGTAGTGCTTTTATTTTTTTAACTTCTTCCCGATTTTCCAACAAGAGCATGGCTTACAAAATCGGTTTAGAACCATGTGATATGTGTGTGTAGGAGGTGAGTCCAGGCTTGAAGATGAGGGACTTTAAGCAGGCTGTTGCCATGCAGGAAAGAGATTTTAGGGGTTTATGATACTATTATATGAAAAACACAAGCTGAGCACTTTGTAGCAATTGGAACCCCAGGCTGAGTGTTACTAATTGTTAGGAAAATAATAGGGAGCAAAATAGAAGACATTTTATACAAATAAATCAATGGCCTATCTACCTCTTAAATGCTGTGCGCAGCATTTTGCGTCTCTTCTCCCCCTTCAGAAAGGACGCAGGAGAATTATAGAATGCGCAGGCAAGGCAACAAAGGTCATGGAAGGGCCTGGATGCAAGGCTGCGTTTTTCAGACTGAGGAGGATGGGGGGGGGATAGCAATGTGTAGAATAATTGGGAGCACCACTGGAAACAAGTAGTTGGGAATGCAGAATAAAAGAAGTAGCTGGGTCTCCGTATGTTGTGCAGTGAAGCTGTGGAACTCTGTGTCCTGCAGAATATTGTTGATTCTAGAAGTTTACCTGGGTTGTAAATAAAAGCAGAGTGTTTTTTATTTCTGGCTTGGAAGTTCCTGGGCCACAAATCGTTGAAGCCTGCAAGAGAATTCTGAGGGAGGTATTGCTACATGCTTGCCCTGGTTTTATACTCTTCCCTAGGTATATGCTGTTGTCGGAGATAGGGTACTGAACAGGACGGAGCTTTGATAGGCCTGGGGTGGCCATTTCTCATCTGCTTTCTGCCGCTTTTGACTGCCCATTTAGGACAGTGAAGGGCTGGCAAACCATGGTCTTCCTGTAAATTAGTTGGTTAAGTTGAAGACTACTATAGAAATGAGGGGTCAACTTGAATTAATTAAGAATAGCTGTTATAGGAGATTGAGACCACTCCCGATATGACAGATTCAGAACAGAAACATGAACTTAAGCAGATGTTGTTATAGGGATTCATAGAATTTGGGAGGGTATTGTGTCCTACCTTATTTCAGAGTAACTTTGTAGGTAGACAAGCCTTGTGCCTTAAGTTTTATTCCAAGTTTTGGCTCTGAAGGCAGGCTCTAAGGATAGGCTTATGGAAACAAGTTTTTAGGATTTGTAGCAGGGTGTAATTAGCAGCGAGTTAACAAGTCTGCAGTGATAGCAGACAGTTAATCTGTGTTTGTCCCTTTTCACTAAGAGTACCTTACCGTGGAGTAAAGCAACACAACCAGACAACAGCTAGGAAACAATGAGTACGTGCTATATTGGAACCTCTAGCTTGCAGTAATTAACTCCTGCCCAGTTACCTTAATTTTCCATGCCATTTAAGTCCATGTTTTTAGTTGTTTTCCTTTTTTTAATAGTACTAAGCTGCTCATTCTAAAATTTCCCAAGCAAGCTATTCATCTGAGGCTTTCTGCAGGATTTTAGAAAAGTATTTTGCTCTCTTAGGGTAAGAAAAGTATTTTTTTATGTGTGGGTAGGGGGAACTGGATAGAATTAAACTACCTTTTATTTGAAAAGCTTTGACACCTTTGTGATCCTGGCTGACGTCTGCATGAGTGCTGGGGAGTTGTCCTTTTATTTTGAGGACGTGTATTTTGTTGCACTGGTGAAAATACTCTTCCAATTTGGCCAAATAATATTTGCAAAAAATATTTGTATGTGCTCCTTTGAGACTTGCACTTGAGCATCTGAAATCTCCGGAGACTGTACAATTGGTCTGTCTCAGTGTACTGCTCCTATGCTCCACGAGGTTTCCATGTTCTGTTTGTTGTGATCCTACCATCTTAACTTGGTGCTGAAAGATCACAGTTCTACCACTGTCACCTGTACCGTTAGCTGAAGAGCAGAGGTCTGCACTAAGGGTTTCAAGAGTCTAACTAAAGGCTTCCCCATAGGCATGTAAATATGGCACTGTGTAAGGAACATCTTCCCAGTGTAGGGGCATTACAAGCTGCATTAAAAGAACATGACTGCCGCGTTCAGAGGCCTTATTTATTGTGTGCTCAAATACCGTTCTGGAGACAGATTTCTTACTTCCCCTCAACCATGTTTGTGATTCTTGTTAGTGCAGCATCTGAATGCATAGTAAGCATTAATTTATTCCATATCACAGTAATGTAAGCAAGTGTTATAAATTCACCTGGAGAGGCAAGGCAAGACTAAGGATTAATGTGTCCAATAATCTTGATCCTACACGTCAGCATTTTGGGGCGGAGTTTCCTTATGCGGAAAGAACATCTCTACTCTTCCATTTTCAAAACTGAATGCTTTGTCTCTCTGTAAATTCAAACTTTCTAGGTATGAAGATGGGGAACAAGAATATGAAGGGTCTACATGGTTTGACTGAAGAGATTTAGTGTTATGTATGAATTCTGTGGGAGACCAGATTTATAGTCCAGATCTTGTGATGGGTTGACCCTGGCTGGACACCAGGTGCCCACCAAAGCTGCTCTATCACTCCCCTCTTCAACAGGACAGGGGGAGAGAAAAATACATTGAAAGGCTCATGGGTCAAGACAAGGACAGGGAGAGATCATTTTACCAGTTACCATCATGGGCAAAACAGACTCAACTTGGTGAAATAAATTTAATTTTTTACCAATCAAGAGAGGATAAAAAACCTGAACCTTAAAATACCTTCCCCCCACCCCTCCCATCTTCCTGGGCTTAGCTTTATTCCCAATTTTCTTTACCTCATCTCCCCTTGAGCGGCACAGGGGGACAGGGAAGGAGGGTTGGGGTCAGCTCATCACATGCTGTCTCTGCTGCTCCTTCCTTCGCAGGGGAGGACTCCTCACACTCCTCCCCTGCTCCAGCATGGGGTCCCTCCCACAGCAGACAGTCCTCCATGAACTTCTCCAACGTGAGTCCTTCTCACGGGCTACAGTTCTTCACCAACTGCTCCAGCGTGGGTCCATCACTTCCATGGGGTGCAGTCCCCCAGGAGCAGACTGCTCCAGTGTCGGTCCCCTGCAAGGTAACCAGCCCTGCCAGCAAACCTGCTCCAGCGTGGGCTCCTCTCGCCACAGGTCCTGCCAGGAGCCTGCTCCTGACATAGAAGGTGACACCCCCTCCTCGTCTCCCCTGCCTGTCCTTCCTAAAGAGCCGGTATACTTCCATTCCAACACTCCAGCCACAGGAGCCATCCCACCATGCCTCTGCGATGCCAATAAGATCATAGTCCTGCAGGCTTGCATACGTCTCTAGCTCCTCTGGTTTATTCCCCATGTTACATGCATTTGCATAGCGGTGTTTAAGGTGGGCCCCCGATGAAGCTGGCTTACTGGCTGGAATTCCTTTGTGCTGCTCCTCAGGTGCTCTGCTGACCTGTGATCCTTCTCCAGGCTCTGGACATCTATTGCTGGCGCTGGCATCAAACTGGTAGGAGTGGGTTGGATTGAGGTTCCCCTCTGCTGGCAACTTGAGTATAGGATTGTTTGGTTTAGAAAGGATTTTTCTGATTGGTGTGTAATAAAGGGAAGGTGTCGATTTATTTTTAAAAGACTATCCTCTGAATATCCACACAGCTAAGATTGCTCTTCCATCTGCTTAGTCTGCTGACTTCCATGCCTCTAAGAAGGAATTGTGTATGGCACAAGCTTGCAGGATTTTTGACGCATGGCTATCTGAAACACCTGTATAAAATCTTGAGCAAGTTATTAAACAGCATTGCTTGTTGTAAAGGACTTCTGTCTGCAGTTGTCATGATTTTGGGATCAACTTTCTTTGGAGCCTGGCTTTTCTGGAGAGAGGCCGATGATGTGAATGTGAGAGCATACCTTGCAGAGGGCCGTTTCTGCCTGTTTTAGGTGGGGAGTCACGTTATGTTCACCTGACAGCTAGCTCAAAGCATAGCAATTCCTGTTTCTAATGTTCTGGAAAAGCGGATGTGAGGTACAATGAATTCCTCTGTTTCTCAAGTTTACTTTTAACCATGCTACTGAAGCAGTCTGCATTTTCTTAATTGCAAAAAATATGCAAAGGTATGAGACCATTATGAAGCCCTTAGATACAGCACAAGGTTTACAGCTCTCTTTCTTCTCCCAGAGGATGCCAGCCCCCATCAGACTGCGGGAGTTGATCCGGACCATCCGGACAGCAAGAACCCAGGCAGAAGAGCGTGAGATGATCCAAAAGGAATGTGCCGCTATCCGGTCATCCTTCCGAGAGGAAGATAACACATACCGATGCAGAAATGTGGCAAAGCTGCTGTATATGCACATGCTGGGATACCCTGCACATTTTGGACAGGTAGGTCTGAGTTCAATACTTGCTGTGCTATGCGCATAAGCCAATCTGCTTTGTGTGTTTTGGGCACGTTGACTTGTTCACAGCATTCCTAGCTGCATTTCTGCTGTCTGCTCTTTAGGATGTTTTGAGGTTCATCTTCACGTGTGTTCTGCACCTACAGTAGTTAGTCTTGACTTTATTAGTGAGATCTGCTGTTTGGAGACTTAGATATGTTGTTACAAAACTTAGGGTTAGTCTGCTTTTGCCAGACTGTCTGCTCCTCACCACCTATGTTTCTGCAGAGCGGTCGTTCTTAAACCCACAGCCCCGTACATACAGGTATTTCTACACGGGTTCAAAAGAATGCTTTGGAGTCCTGCGTCTGATGGAAAATGCCAGATGCTTCAAACAAGGGTTCTATACCTTTTTCCTTCTGAAGCAATCTGTTCTAGGCGGGTAAGAGCTGGTCTGTTCCCAGCAACAAGAAATTGGTGTTCCTAATCCCAGTCTTAGTGAGGTGACTTGGAGAATGCTGGTATGAGTATTCCATCTCTTGGCTTATTTTTGACACACTGTCTTTGACACAGGTAGATTGTGGAAGAGGGAGACAGAAGGTGGGAGTTCTTGATCTACAAGATGTTCTTCAAGTTGAGCATTGCTCAGTCTTTGGGGCATAGTCTGTTTTGCTTAGAAGTCAGTAGGTGTCATGTTAGTAGTAATCTAAACTAGGCCTTCCATAAAGCTAAATAAAAAGTCAGTCAAATTGTTGTGTCCCTTAAAGTAGCTTCATCTCTTGGGAGTCTGTCCATTCATGATGGGATTTAACACTCCTCCCTGAAACAGTAAACACTAAAATCAAATTCCAAATAGTCCTCGTGTTAGTAAGTGAGTCTGGGCTGTGTTATTGCATATAAAGTGCATCATCTTACTTCTGCATTGTTGGGTTCTTCTCACAGGATAACGAGCTGTTGCATAAGAGCAAGTGAATTTGATTATTATCCTGGTTTTTAACACTTCACAGAGCCAGACTCCCTGGTCCAAGAGAGAACTTCCTGTCACAAAAATTAAGGCTAAGTATCTAAGAGCTGCAGGAAGAATGAAAAGTGTTACAGATAAGTGTCATCTAGAATTTCTACATTTGACCCATGTTAGGAACATGTTTAAATTTTACTGGGATTATTTTATCTTGTTATTCAATTATTTAATCCCATGTATGGAAAATTAGACCAGATATGTAATAATTTTTCAGTTTCTGCTTTGGTCAGTAATGGTAAATTACATCTTCACCCTCAGTGGAAGAAGGATAAAACAGCTTATTCAATATCTATTATTGCCAGGGCTGCTACATCTCAAACAGAAGCATCTATGCTGACTATTTTGGCAACAGAGCTCTTCATTCGATGGTCTTGGTTCTCACGTCGTCTGAGCTGCGCTTTCAGGAAGGTGTAGGACACAAGGCTGAGAAGGGATTTTAACAAGTACTCTTCAAGTGAGCAAGTTGCATGTCCTTAATGCTTGTAACTGGAAGGAATCTTTCAAAGTGCTAACGTTATGTAGGTGGCGTGTAGTTTGCGTGAGCTGGGGACCTGGGTCTGGTAGATCGACAGCCCAGCATTGCAGGCAGGAAGTTTCTGAGAGCGACAGGACAAATACGCAGGAAATATGTTTTGGTGGAAAATGGAGGAGAGCTACAGGCTGCATTAGACGGTCTCTCTTAAAGATCTAAGCAGACATCTGACTTCAGCTAGCAGTGTGGATGGGTAACCAGTAATAAAAGGGAATTTAGAGAAGGTGTCAGAAGTGGTGGATGGTTGATCTACTTCTTCTCAAGCCAGGGATCCTCAGCTTTGACCCAGGATGTCTTGCACAGAAATATGAGCATGAGCACCATATTTAGCCACTGCGTGCTGAGATGCCCTGGATGGCAAGCTGTCTCTTGAGTGTGCAAAGGCCATTTGTGCAGGTTTAGAAGGTGTCAGGCAGCCTGGGCAAATGGTCAAATAACTTTATTATTATTGTCATTATTTTTACTTGCAAAAAAATTGCAGTTAAAGAGTGACTATGTCAGTAAAAATTTGGGTAAGCTGTAGTCTGGCTGTATGCCTGTATCTTATCCAGCTTTACCAATGTATCTGTTACAGTACTGATGTAGCAGATTTTAATTGTTCCTCTGAATGAAATGGATATAATGGTATTAATATTTCTTCCACTAATTAGACCTAGTTAGAGCTTCAGCTGATCACGTTTCTCAGATTGCTGTGCATGAAGCTAGTTTGCATGTATTTGTATTCAAGTGGAACAAGAACTCATCAGCCTTTCACAGGGTAAATTTCAGTAGTATCATTCAGATTCAAAAGTATGAGAAGTGTATCTTACAGTATCTTTTGCAGTCGTTAGTTTTCTTATGCTTTTTCTTAGTTGTTCCTCTTCTGCCTTTGTTGACTCTTACACCGTAGCTTAGATGTCGTCAATTCTACATTGCATTTTTGCAGAGGGCTGTGTAAGTAAGTATCTTGTAAACCTGAGGAAGAAAGTTGGTTCAGAGGTGCGTTATTCTCCTACAGAAAGCACTGGAAAGATAAGAGGTTGATATCTAGTGTTCTGTACCTTATCCCTGGTTGATCTTGCCCATTTGTGCAAGTTCAGTTATCCTTGTGGATGACTGATCTTATTGTTCAACAAAGGTGTTCCTTTACTCTAGTTTTCCAGGGCCTTTAAGCCTAGCAAACTGTACTTGCTGTCAAGCTTTTTCTTACCAGTTTGTCGTTCTGCACTAGCTGGGTGTTCATATGTAGCAGCTTCTGCACAGTTGAGGTATATGTTCTGATGCCGTGCTGTTGTGAGAACTTGTCAGGGGCTAGGCCATAGCACTTATTTTCTCTGGCACTTCAACTTAAATTTTCTTATCAGTATCCTGTACAACTTTACCCTCCAGATGTGTGTGTGCTGCTTGCATCTCACCTGTGTCTGTTGCCCTGTTCAAGCTTCCCTATAGCTAGGGACTGTGAAAAACCTTTCATGATGCCCTGTATTTTTGCCTGTGCATGCCCCCTTTACTTCCTTTAAAATGGATCTGTCGCAAGCTTTGTCTGACCCTCTCCTTAAACCCTTTGTGTGTGTTTACTTGCAGCTGACTTGTAAAACATGGGATGTGTTTGTGAGGGATACATCTCCTACCTGAGAAGCCATTTCTGCTACATCCTGTCTGGAAAGCAGAGATTGATTATACTTGAGTATAGTGTAACTCTTCTGTTAGAGAAGAATATTGTAGTGCGCAGTAATGTCAGAATATCTCTGCGGCTGATGTCTTTTAAGTGTTAAGTTTAAAAATGGGCTAGCAGATTCTTAAATCAGCTGAGTGCAAGTGGCAGCTATGAATGTTATCTCAGGGATCTCCTTTATGCTATTGAACACGGTTGGCCTTTCTACATGGTGAAAGGGAAGCTTGTAGTGCCTACAATGCATATGATTTTAGTCAAACTTCAGGTGTTCAACCAGAGATTACAGAGCAGCACAAAAACTTAACTATCTCTGACTGTATCTAGGATCCACCTAACTAGCAAGTTAGTTACAGGTCATCATAAACAAAAACTGGTTTTGACAACTTGACTTACAGAGCATCATCAGTCCTCTCTCTGGTAGGTAGATGGACCCATTTAAGCTTGGTTCAGAAGTGTCCCACAGATATCAAACATGACACATGATCTAGATTTCCAAATCTTTACTGTTTTATTTTTAATGATGGATCTCTTATCTCTGTAAATATGTTACCTTTTACTTTTGTGATCTGACATAAACGCACATATCTGGTATATCTGAGGTCATGAATGGAAGGTAAGTATCTTGTAAACCTGAGGAAGAAAGTTGGTTCAGAGGTGCGTTATTCTCCTACAGAAAGCACTGGAAAGATAAGAGGTTGATATCTAGTGTTCTGTACCTTATCCCTGGTTGATCTTGCCCATTTGTGCAAGTTCAGTTATCCTTGTGGATGACTGATCTTATTGTTCAACAAAGGTGTTCCTTTACTCTAGTTTTCCAGGGCCTTTAAGCCTAGCAAACTGTACTTGCTGTCAAGCTTTTTCTTACCAGTTTGTCGTTCTGCACTAGCTGGGTGTTCATATGTAGCAGCTTCTGCACAGTTGAGGTATATGTTCTGATGCCGTGCTGTTGTGAGAACTTGTCAGGGGCTAGGCCATAGCACTTATTTTCTCTGGCACTTCAACTTAAATTTTCTTATCAGTATCCTGTACAACTTTACCCTCCAGATGTGTGTGTGCTGCTTGCATCTCACCTGTGTCTGTTGCCCTGTTCAAGCTTCCCTATAGCTAGGGACTGTGAAAAACCTTTCATGATGCCCTGTATTTTTGCCTGTGCATGCCCCCTTTACTTCCTTTAAAATGGATCTGTCGCAAGCTTTGTCTGACCCTCTCCTTAAACCCTTTGTGTGTGTTTACTTGCAGCTGACTTGTAAAACATGGGATGTGTTTGTGAGGGATACATCTCCTACCTGAGAAGCCATTTCTGCTACATCCTGTCTGGAAAGCAGAGATTGATTATACTTGAGTATAGTGTAACTCTTCTGTTAGAGAAGAATATTGTAGTGCGCAGTAATGTCAGAATATCTCTGCGGCTGATGTCTTTTAAGTGTTAAGTTTAAAAATGGGCTAGCAGATTCTTAAATCAGCTGAGTGCAAGTGGCAGCTATGAATGTTATCTCAGGGATCTCCTTTATGCTATTGAACACGGTTGGCCTTTCTACATGGTGAAAGGGAAGCTTGTAGTGCCTACAATGCATATGATTTTAGTCAAACTTCAGGTGTTCAACCAGAGATTACAGAGCAGCACAAAAACTTAACTATCTCTGACTGTATCTAGGATCCACCTAACTAGCAAGTTAGTTACAGGTCATCATAAACAAAAACTGGTTTTGACAACTTGACTTACAGAGCATCATCAGTCCTCTCTCTGGTAGGTAGATGGACCCATTTAAGCTTGGTTCAGAAGTGTCCCACAGATATCAAACATGACACATGATCTAGATTTCCAAATCTTTACTGTTTTAATGATGGATCTCTTATCTCTGTAAATATGTTACCTTTTACTTTTGTGATCTGACATAAACGCACATATCTGGTATATCTGAGGTCATGGAATGGAAGGCCAACAGTGTCTGGCTACTTCACGATGAGGAGCTGGTAATGACTTTCCTGCTAGCTTGCTGGGAGCTTTGGGCACGTCATTTAACCTTTGTTTTCCACATCACCAAAGTGGGAATAAAATATACTTCAAAAAATGCATTCTGAGAGACCTAAATGAGTGAACATCAAAATTCAAACTGTTTCTCCTCTAGCTAAGAAGTAGTTTAAGCTAATTCTGTCTTTTTTTTTTCTTCTTTTTTCCTTTTTTTTTTTTTTTTTTTCCAGTTGGAGTGCCTCAAGCTCATTGCCTCTCAGAAATTCACAGACAAGCGCATTGGGTATTTAGGTGCCATGTTGCTGCTGGATGAGAGACAGGATGTCCATCTTCTTATGACCAATTGCATCAAGAAGTAAGGGTGCCACCTCTCTCTCCATCAACACATGCTTTGAGGTTTCAGGATCTGAAAGTACACTCCCAACAGTGATATTTTCAGTACTTTATTTTTTCCCTTGTGTTAGAAAACTGTTATCTTCAATTTGTTGTATACTGTTGACTGTACAAGGCTGTTCTAGTATTGTACTGCATTGAATGATCATGTCCAGCTTCCTTAGAGGGGTATGAAGAGGCGTATGTGGCCAGCAACGCTTCATATAACTGCTGTTACAGGATGGTAGTAACGTGTTTCTGGAGGTCATGTTAAGATGAATAAAATCGGGAAGATGAAATGACCACAGTAAGCTGTTCAGACAGTGCAGAAGATGCCTAATTGTTGTAAAGAACACTTCTGTACATTAGTTATCTTTCAGCTTGCAGTAGGAAAGAGCCAGGTGAGCAGTAATGTGGCATCAGTAAAGGTCCATGCACCTTTTAAATATGAATGAATCAGGATGTTTTTATAAAACTGTTAAAACTCTGTAGGCTGGACTGGCCATCATATGTCACAAAGTCATATATATTGCTGCAGCCATGTTGTCCTGTGTTTGTTTGCTTCTGCTGATGAGCTCTGAAGAGTCGTCTGACTTCAGGGATCAAGGCTATGTATCCTGCTTTCTTCTTGAGGTTGGCCTAATGGTCCTGATGAGTGGCTTTCCTTGGAAGCAAGGCAGCAACTTGGGATGTGTGGTCACTTGGCACCTCGCTGAAATCAGACAAGACAGGATGGGAAATAATTTTTTTTTTTAAAAAAAAAAAAAAACCAAAGAAAACCAAACCTTTTTTTTTCTCTCTGCAAAATGGTATTGAACTGGGACTGGTTTACGTTACAGTTTAGTAGACGACGGTTGGTGCATTTCCAGTAACACTCCTTTTCAAGATGGATGGGAGCAGGAGTGGAACAACTGGGTTCCAGTTGATTTATTCAGATGCCTGCTTGGTTGTGTGTGGTGTGTCTGTTTTTATTATTATTTACTTTTAGGACATAAGCCTCCCAGATATTAGCAAGTAAATTACTGCTCTGCAGTTAGACTGTGGCCTCAAAGTGATTGGAAAGAAACTTGACAAAACTGCAGGCCTGAGGATCTGCTAACTTTGGACCTGGTATCCAGGAGAGAAGAGACATTTGGCTAAAGATTTTTCATGGAAATGTCATACTTGTGAGGCTCTTCCATTAGAACCAGGCTGCTAGGTTAACCCCTCTTTTGATTGTTTATGCTAAAATGAATTTGTGTGGTAAGGGTATAGTGAGTTTGGACTGGAAATGGGTCAGACTGAAGCTGAGCAAAACTGGTGGACAGCTTCCCACCACCTCAGTGGGTTGTTTATTGCTTTCTCCTTTGGCTTCTGTATCTACCACTTTGTCTTGCTTTTATTTAGACATCAAGGTATTTGATTTATGACACTGTCATTATTTTATAGCAAGACCTAGATTTTTGATACAAAAAAAGCGAGCGCCCTTGCGAAGCACATACTTGCTATGCACACAGCTTTATATAGCTGCCAAAGACTTGTTAAAGGAAGGAAACAAAAAACCAACCCATGTAGTGGCATGTGCTGTCTCTTCCTTCATCTGCATGTTGCGATAGCTGCTTAATGTTATAACCAGAATACTGTCTCTCGCTTTACTGCACGTTGTTCGCCTTTGGTTACATACCCCTCGTTTCCCCTGCTCTCCCATCATGCAAACCCCAGCTACCCTTGCCTCCCAAACCAGGAACCATAATCTTTACTTTCTTCAGCATTGAATCCTGGATGCTGCGGCGACATGAGCACCAAAGAGTCTGATGGAAAAGTAGTGTTAGAAATGCGTTTTAAAGGCTGGGGTTGCCATGTGGAAGCTACATTGTCTTGTACTTAGTGTGACGCTGGTAGCTGGCCTCATGAATCGCACCTACTGTTGGGTGGTTTAACTTCTTGTCCGCTTTTTGCAACTTCCTTAGGCATATGAATAGTTAGGATTGCTGATCAAAATTCCTGTATGGATTATTTTCGAGGTGTACGAGTGGTGGGGTTTGTGGTTTTACTTGGGATAGAAGATGTTTTTACATAGATTTTTATATACTGTTTGGTTTATAAATGCAGAAGCTAAAGCCTACCCTAGAACACGTTTAAACTGGGACAACCTACGGCGTCACTGCAGGTCTGTGCTTCATGTTAGGGTCTCTTCTGCATGCAAGTTCCAAAATACACCATTCTGTCTTGGCTTTAGGAATTTAATGGAATTCTGTGTGGTCTTCCCTCTTCTCGGCTCAATCCCTAGATTCCCATCTGATAGTTTTAACCAAGTATTTATCTTTGTAATTGAGCATTCTGAGTAGAAGTAGTAGCAAACCCTGTGGTACATGCACTCAAAGCTCCCAAGTCATCCTCCCAAATGGCTGAGAATCTGCAGAGTTCTTGTGGGCCATGTGTGCAGCTGGTTAGATGACTGTAGATATAGGTGCCTTTCTTGTGCGTTCAGGTTCTCTGTGTGCATGCTGACTGGCTTTTTTTGTTCTCCTTTACAGTGACCTTAATCACAGCACGCAATATGTGCAGGGGCTGGCACTCTGCACTCTTGGCTGCATGGGCTCCTCAGAAATGTGCAGAGACCTTGCAGGAGAGGTGGAAAAGCTCCTCAAAACTTCCAACTCCTATCTTAGGAAGAAGGTACTTCAGGGAACTTTCGAATACTTTGTTATGGATTAAAACTCAGGATTGATTGGATACCTTGCTAGTATCTGGAATGCTAGATGGCTTGGATCACACTGGCTGAGTATTTTCCCAGTGTGCAATACAGATAGAGGTCAAAACTCCCTCCCTGTCTATGGCAGGAGTGTGTGTAGGACTCTAAAAGACAAGTCTCCAGCATGTGAGGCAGTTGTTTCTGTTTTGATACTCTCTACCTTAAGGTTATTGGTAGTAATGTGAACACCTGCCTGTGCACAGACATTAACCTAGTAACTTCATAACTTCTAGCGATCAGTTTTATTTCTGTATCTTCTCAGATGAGTCCAGAGTTAACTTTGATCATTAACAGTGCAGGATGATATCTGAAGATTTGAACCTATTTGATCTCTTCTGTTGGCGATGATGACAGTAGTATGCGAGATAGAAAGGTTAAGGGCTTGAAAGGGGCAAACAGTTACAAATTGTCTCGCTTCCGTAGCAAGTGTGCCATAGCATCTGCAAAGTGTAATCACCCTTGTTCATTTAAATTTATTTCATTGTTAAGTCTTGGGGAGGGTGGGAAGCAGTAAGATTTAGGAAGGCATGCATTGTTACTTCTTTGTAGTACTAGATATAGAGATTGGAGAGAAAGCAATGCTAAGAGCTATTGCTGTATATTGGGAGGAGGCCCTCAGTGCACTTGATTCTCAGGCAGCTGCAAAGAATAGTGGCTCCTGTTGCTTCTGCACCCTAGAAGTAGGCAAATTTTTTTCAGGATGCTTTTGTTTTTCATAGGACCCATCAATTGCAGGAGGAAGTTGATTTGTAGGGAAGGAGATAATATTCAAGGGAAAGAAAACAAGCCACAAATTTGACACAAATATCATTTGCTTCCAATGTATTATCCCCTCCCTAGCAACAGGAAGACAAACTGAAGTAGCCCTGTTAAAGGCAGAGCTCCTTTGCAGTTAATATCTCTTCTGAAGTGAATGATGTGAAAATGATCCATTGCTAGTGAGAGTATTCCTATTTCTCTCCACCCCCCACCCCCCTTCACTCGTGGTAGTTTTATTGAACTCTTCTCTGTGATGCTGTTTAGTATCACTTGTAGTAGAGAGATGGAAAAATGTACCATAAACTTTCCAGGCCTTTGTATATCGTGAAATTTGTGATAGATACCACTGTGCTAGATGTTCTCAAAATATGTATCGTTGTCATTATAGTATGCACTAACAGAGCTGTTTTTCCTGTACAGGCAGCATTGTGTGCTGTTCATGTCATTAGAAAGGTGCCTGAACTCATGGAGATGTTCCTGCCAGCCACGAAAAACTTGCTGAATGAGAAGAACCATGGTAATACCTGAGACTCTACTTAGCAAAGATGTGCCCTTCTTTACGGGATGGTGTACTTGCTGCCCTAAGCCTTTTGTTTCATCCTGTTTCTATGCAGTGAAAGCAAATGTCACTCAGAAGGAAGGGATATTTATGATTCTGCCGGTCAGCAGGACTTTGACATGGCACAAATGACAAAAGGATCTCTCACTGTTTTTTGATACACTTCACAGTGGGTAGAATAGGAAAGTTTGTGATTTTTATCCAACTAATACACTGCCTAAAGGGACTGTAAAGTGCAGGTTTTAGGGTGGGTTTTTTTGTCTTCCGTTAGCACGGCATTATAGGATTCTCTGACGTCACTTTAGCAGGTGTTCCCAGGACTGAGATACCTACATCACTGTCAGGAAGGAGTCTTTCTTCAGTGCTGTTTTTCATCAGAACTACATCATAAAACAGATACTCGCTTTAATGTTTTTTTGCGAGATTATTCTGTTGTAATGCGTTCTCTTGCACAAGTGCTTCTAGAAAATGATTTAAAGAGAAATGGTAGTATTGACATCTTGACTAATTTGTGTCAAGCCTAGTGCTCACTTCCCAAATTCTCAGTCCTGTGGCACATCTGCAATGAGCATGTGCCTTAAGAAAATAGGTGGGTGCACTAGGAGTTCTACAGTAGATGTTTGCAGTGCTGAAAACCCATTACAGGGAGAAGTTCTGTGTCAAGACAGGGTAGTTTTAAGTGCCAACAGCACTAACGGGCCACAGTAACTTCCTGAGAAGCTAATGTTGCCATTTTTTTTTTTATGCTGCATGTGTTGTAACCTTTGAGGTACAGGACAGTTTGCATGTGGAATGTAGTTCATATGTGTGCAGCTGGTTTACCTTGGTTTAAGATGTGATGATCAGAACATTTAGAGCAGGCACTGTTTCAAACAGGCAATGGTCTGTAAGACTCTTTGTCAGTGAGTGATGCCTACATGATCCAACTTGGTGGCATGAGGTCCTCTGTCTTTATCTTATGCAAACCTGAAAAGCTGAGAGCTGTTCTGTTCCCTCTGTTGCTTCTTTAAAGACAGGAACACTCCTCTTCAAGCCTTGGCCATGCAGAGAATTGAGTCTAGGTTAATTTGTATTCAAGAATTAGATTGTCCTTTCTGCTTTCCTCATCCTTCAAAATCAGCATCCCATTTCCAGCAGTCTTAGCCATGGGCTTTGTGTTGAGCTTTCCCTGAAGCAGAATATATATGAAACCCTTTTAGCAGCTTCTTGGGAGGTCTCAGTGATAAGTAAGCAGTGTCAGTGTTAAGAAAGCTGTGACACAAGCTTTATAGATAGATATTTATGTACTTCAGAACAGATTCTGGCTAGAATCTGCAATAGGTCAGAAGGCTGCATAACTTGTGGAATACAAATGTCGTCATCTCAGTAGAAAACATTGCTTATTAAGCAGGCTACTCGTCTCTTTCTGAGTCAGCAGCTCTCCAGTACAGACGTAACAGTTATAGAAAATAAATAACTGAAAAAGTTAGCATCTGAGAAGGATTGCTGTGTTACAGCTGAATGCAGACGTAAAATAATGCTCATTGTTGAAGCTTCATGCTTTACAAGGTTATATTTCACAAGTTACCCAGTGTTGACATTTAGTTAAATGGTTTGTAACTGACATGTTTTCAGAGACACTTTGACTGGGTTTCATTAAGGCAGGGCTCGCAGCAACTGGCTGCCAATGCACAGACGATGGCTTGACCAAGCAGTTGTCTGTAGTCTTTTTCTGGACTGAGTTCTGAGACCTTCTGAGGAAGACCCAGTTCAGGTCACATAAGGTTGGCTAGGGTACTGAAATCAGAAGAGGAAATGGGGAAGTATGAGGAACCCAACACCTACAAGGCAATTAATACATAATTGTCCTTCTAGAGTCTTATGTTTATGTAGAATGGTTTGGGCTTGAAGGGAGGGACCTTAAAGATCATTTAGTCCAACTATGTCTGTTACCCTCTGACTGTGTGTTTAGTATCCAAGCTTCTGCAGACAAAGTCCAATTTCTGTCCTCTTTGGCCTTTAGTTGCAGCTTTAAGACGTGAGCACATTGCTCTCTGCTTTCCCTTGGGCACAGTTGCAAGTGCAAATATATTTTGGGGTAGATATGTTGGATACAAGAAAAGTATTTTTTAAAATTATTTCCTGTTGTTTCCTTATGATCTTTGTCACATGTCTGAAGCCAATGAAATTCTGTTAGTACTTTTTTCTTTTTTCCCTCTCACATTTAGGTGTTCTTCACACATCAGTTGTCCTCCTCACAGAGATGTGTGAGAGAAGCCCAGACATGCTTGCACACTTTAGAAAGGTAGGTGTGAACTGATAATATTGCAAAGTTAATGTTCATGGTTTTATTTGTCGTGGGTGGTTGGGGGTTTTTTTTTTTTCCCCCCCGATGTGTCCTCTTAGTCTGCTTAGTGAAAGCAGCATGCATGTCTTTTAATAAAATCCTTACAGCTATTTGGGTGAAGAATTTAATGATACTGTCTGCTTGTTATCAACATTTTAAAAAAAAAAATCATTACATGGGGGAATTTTGTGTGCATCTAAACCTAATTCCCTTCAATAAGTGGGTAAGTTACAAAACATCAGTCTTAAGACTGTGCAGTATGAAACTCATCCTAAAGTCCTCCTTGATGTTGCCGTAGGATTTTTTCCACTCTTTTGAGGCTAATTGCACAGTGATGCTGGAATCACAAACATAAACGTAAAGAGGCAAAGATGAAAACCTGAGGCTTATACACCAATGTGCCTTAACCACAGCCACACCATTTTATTAACTCAGGTCAAAAATACCAATGGAAGTTCTAGTTCTGTAGATACCTCATCTCTGGTGCATGCTATATTACATCATTTTCCACTGTAACTTAAGGGTTTGAGAGTCAATGTCACTCTTCCTCTTCTGCCTAGGAATGTTTGCTTCTCCTCTCCCTCTGCCCCCTAGCACAAGCTTCCTTATGCTGTTTGCTATAATGTGCTGTGCTGTATTATTGCCATACGAAAGACTACCAATAGAAGGGCATCTGAAAATTGCATTGATTATGTTGTTCTGACTTCTTGGTCAAAGAAGGAGAAATTGAACAAAGCTGGTGGAACAGAACTGGGTGTTTGCCCCTCTGAAAAGTCTTAAAGGTGCTTATTTATTTGCATGCCCAGTTTACTGTTCTTCCTTGGCTTGTGTATATCATTAGGGATTCCACACAGTATGTTCTTTGATGCATCTTAGCATTTTGGCATGCATCTTTCCTTGCCCTGATTGTATATGTCAAAGCAGGAGTGAAAGTGGGACTGGGGTCACGTTGAAGGCAGGTACCCCCACTCCTAATCACTCAGTTAAGATGATAGTTGTGTGGGGAAAAGAGAGAAGAGCCGAGTCCACAAAATTTAGGTACTAGGTACATTCTTTTCTAGCTATCTCTTGTTGTTTATGCTGTGAATGGTATAACATTGATCTATCCCTAATGCCTGCTTCGTCTGTTTTGTCCCTTTTGTCTGTTTGGAATCCTGCTGTGTGTTAGAATGAAAAGGTAAGAGTTAATTCTTTTAGATGGTGCATGCTTGCATTGAATCTGTAGATGTCTGTCTCTTGTGAGGCAGTGCCTCTTAATGCCACATTTATGATTGATGCCATATGCTTAGATCAATTGTACTTGTCTAATGCTTTTTGTGTGCTGGTTTGGTCTTGTCACTAAACCTTTATACCCATGGCAGCCCTGAATCTCCGTTGCGGCCTTCTCCAAACATGAGATTGCTTTCCTCAAGTTCTCTCTCACTTGAGGAATATTTTAGGGAATTTTTTGTGCCTATGCAAACTATAGCACTTGGCTTTCTTCTTACCACAAACTGGCGTTTGTGTTTTGCCTGAATCTTGGGGCAACTTTGGGTGATTCCCAAAAGGAGAGCAGGAGAGACAGTTAATTAGCTGCCTGTAAGTGGGCTTACTGTGCTGCAAAGAGCTACTGAGTACAGTTGCATTGCTGATATTTTTCATGGGTGTAATTTGACTACAGAAGATTGGGGGCTGGCCCTCAACCGATCTCCATGGCTGTAATGTTTCCCTTTGTTTGTCCTGTCCTCAGTCCTGATAACTCTTGCATGTTAGAGGGCAAATAAAATGTTAATCAGGGTTCCAGGAATGCTCCAGCTGGTCACTCCACTTGTCTGTTACTCTGTCTTGAAGGAAGATATTGCAGCATCCTTTGGTTTCCTCTTTAAGGCAGATAATAGGAAATTCATGGTTCCTTTCATTTGTGTGTTTTATGAAATGCATGTTTTCAGAGGAATATGTAGCTCCTGAAGAGCAAAGGTAGGAATAAAAAGAGATGATGGAGAAACTCAGCTGGTTTTCGTCTTGTACCACAAACGTACAGGACTTTAGTCCAGAAAACATTGCCCACTTAGTTTATCCACATGCGGTTGTTGTGCTCGGTTCAGTCACATTGTGCTTTTGGCACATTCTGCTACTCCCTGTCCTGAATCTAAAGCACCAGCTTGATTTGTTGTTGTCCGAGTGGCAACTTTACTATAAGCAATCTCTGATCTGGTAAAAATTTAGTGTGAATGCAATCCCTGACTCATAGTAGGTGTACATGAATGCAGGAGCAGCCCATCTCAAGGATGGGAAAATGTATTAAGTCTTAAGGGTGAATTGTTGGGAAGGGTTTTGTAGAGAATGTTTTGATAAACTGTAGTTGTCATGTGTGGAGTTGAGAGGAAAAAATTATGCTGTCCTGGTGCTAGCCATGCTTCGGCAATGAAAATCTACTTAGTGCAGCCACTGTAAACACCTCTGTCTAGTTTGCCACCTCATCTCCAGCCAGTGTCTGGATTATTTTAATAATACCAGCACTGAGAGGGATAGAAGAAACTTTCTATGGAAGGAATAAAGCTTGTAGAGATCTACATCTCTATGTCATCCATCAGGAGTGGTTTTGCTCTTACAGTTCAATGAAAATTAGTCATTTCTGTCTTAAGATTTTTCATAGGATGTGTTGGAAATGAGCTTCTATTTAATCCCTGAGACTATTTTGCTACTCGTGGCTGCTATGAAGGTTTTTGGAGATAAATAGTAAGTTTGTTATAGCTTGTCTGCTTTAATGATTGGCTTTACTTGCCATGTTCTGCCCTAAACTGATTACTTGCTTGGCATGTGTGAGATACTATGGAGAAATCTATTATGGTCCCTCAGAGTTGCCCTGGCAGATGAAGTGCATCACTAGAGATGCCCAAGATGGAGGGAATTGAACCAAACTTTTGCAAATAGGTAGCGCTTCTTCAGAGCTGTGTACAAGTCTTGAAAGGTAACTTACTTCTATGGGTAGGTGTCTACTGGGAGACCAGTGCCATCGACATCTGAGGAAACTGGACTGCTTCTGAGTTTTTTAGCTCGCACAGTTGGAAAGAAACTGGCATTATACCATTTTAATAGTCCCAGAACATCCCTTTTTCATGGAGAGAGGAATTTAAGTTGGTATTTCCCCTCAGGTCTCAACTGCCAAGCTCTGGTAGATTTAGTACTTTAAAGACAGAATATGGTGCTCAGGTCCCAGCTTAACTGCTTCTAGTTGTGCCCTAGCTAAGCTGTAGGTAGTCATAGAACATCAGCTCCAGATGTGCAGGCTGAACTTTGTGGAAGAATCCATAGACGGACTTGCTTTCAAATACAGGGTTTGCTCTTGGACCTGTACTTCAGAGCTGGGAGGGGGGGAGGGGGAAGGAACAGCACCCTAATGGGAGAACTCTCTTCTTCGCAGCTTGTTCCCCAATTAGTTCGTATTCTGAAGAACCTTATCATGTCTGGATATTCACCAGAGCATGATGTGTCTGGGATCAGTGACCCCTTTTTGCAGGTAAGAACTGACACAAACAATGATTGATAGCTTTCATTCTAGCACTGTGTTTTGAGACTTTAGTATGATGGGGTGATTACCTCAGGGCAGCTGTGCTGATTTTAAGGTTTTGTGTCTTCATTAGAGCTGATTGTGCAAATGCTCTTCATCTGCCTTAGTGAAAGACACCTGCCTTAGTTTAAATAGCAGTTGTAGTGCCTTGGGTGAAGCTGTGACAAAAGGGAGAAGCGGCAACATGTGTTGGTCTTGTGCAGCTGTGCCTAGTGGGCAGTGGGGGTACCCTTAACAGTTCTGGCTAGCGAGGAGAAAATGAGCAGTGTAAGCCTGCTTCTTGTTGGTAAAGGTCTATTAAGGATAAGCATTTTGGTTAGGAATGGAAATCAGCAGCTTGTTTTGCTTCTTTGCCACGCCTTGGGAAGTGTACTGGGCATTTCATGCCCCCCATGTAAAACACTGCCATCCAGTGATACTTTCTTTGCTTTATTTTGTCAAATAGGTACGAATCCTGCGGTTACTAAGAATTTTAGGGCGAAATGATGATGATTCTAGTGAAGCAATGAATGATATACTTGCACAGGTGAGGTCTGCAAGGTTGACAAGCAGCTTAAACTTTCTCTTTTGGTTTCTTAATGATTTGGCAGCACTGGTGAGGCTACAGTTGGTTGCTGTGCTGGGTTGGATTTGGTGCAAGAGACACGTGTTCACAGGTGTGATGGTTGTTTGCTAGGGGTTGGTTCATTTTGCTGCCTGTTCTGCAGAACGGCACAAAGAGAAGCTGGTTTGGATGTGTTGGAGTCCCTTATTTTGTTTCTTTTCTCCAGGTTGCCACTAATACAGAAACAAGTAAAAATGTGGGAAATGCCATTCTCTATGAAACTGTGCTGACGATTATGGACATAAAATCTGAGAGTGGACTGAGAGTAAGTTGCCTTTGCTATGGCTTTCTCCCCCACCCCCTCCCCACCCCCGGCTTGTATTAGAGTAATTTGTGTAGAGGACACGAAGCAGTTGTTTCAACCAAACATAGTTCTGCAATTGGCTCTATATAAGACTGTAGCCTCTTCAGAAAGTGGTGTTTGTGGGGTTGTTTTTAAATAACAAAAATAAAAAGGCAAAACCTCCCGCAGACTGTGTTCCCTTGAGTGCAGGAGAGAGACTGTGCTGTGTTTGTCTTAGTCTTTTCTCTGCTTAGTCAGCTTTCTAGAGTCCTTTGTTATGCTTTTGGCCAAGAACTGCAATGGTAGCTTTGCCACATTGCCTTTAAAATCATCTTGAAACACTGAAGAGACCAGCAGCCTTTTTTGATCACTGACCTTTCCTGACTCTTTCTGCAGGTGTTAGCCATTAACATCCTTGGCCGTTTCTTATTAAACAATGACAAAAATATTAGGTAAGTTGTATGAAGTATGTTTTGGCAATACCCAGTTTAAAATCTGTGAGAAACAATTACACAAAGATTGTGCTGAAGTAGAGCTTGCCAGGAAGACCACATTGAGAAGTACTGGGTTTGGGGTTAGTGTGACTGTCCAGCCTGCTGCTTCTTGGTACATTCTTATCTCTGTGGAAATCTTGCCTGTGGCCCTGCCCGTCTTAGTTGATGAGTTTGGGTGTATGGTCTAATTCTTAACATGTGATTTCTTAATCTGGTCAAGTGTTTTTCCAAAAACCTGTGACTCTTCTGTCTTGTTCCAACTGGTCTGTGGTGATATTCAAATCAGAGTTAGCATTGGAGATCTGGCAAATTAGGCAAAGGCTGTGTTTTTTTTGATTGTGTGCTGTTGTCAACAAGGAAGTTGTGCTTTGGTCACTATGAATCTAAACATGGAATTACTGCAACTGCTGGAATTAAGTCCCATCTCTAGGCATTTTGATTGCAAATCATGGTATAGGTAGAAGACTCCAGCCTTGGGAATTGCAACTCATCCTAGTTTGATCTGCAGAGGTCTAATCTTTAATTGCCTTGTCTTTTCAAAAATCTTTGTGAAGGCTGGACAATGGACATAAGCCCAGGGATTGGGACAGGAGCTTGTCTGGGCAGCAGGATGTTTGGCATGTTGCAATTTAGTACAGTAATTCACCATTGAAGATAGGCCAGGCAGTCCCCTAGAAGATTTCCGTTCCTTACTGAGTACAAGAAAACCCTGTTCTGTTGCAAAATAAGACTTAAGATTTTTGGGGATGAGTGTCTGTGCATAGAAAGTACATGCCTACTGTCAACTATTTATTACCATATGTCCTTATCCCAGATATGTAGCTTTGACATCATTGTTGAAAACTGTGCAGACAGACCATAATGCAGTACAGCGGCACAGAAGCACAATTGTGGACTGCCTGAAGGATCTGGATGTCTCCATTAAAAGGTAATTGAAATACCAGTGAAATAGACTCTCAAGGTTGGTAGCCTTGGAAAAGTGAGCAGGGCGTAGGGGAAAATGACAATAACCTCGGGGTTCTGTAAATGAGACTGGTATTAATGCACAGGCTGGTTCATACTTCAAAGAAGGTAACGAAGATGTGCAGCCACCTTCTTTGGGAAGCTGCTTCTACATTTTATTCATCTTGGATTGGATAAAAAGCTTTTTCTGTTTGCCTGAATTTTTCCAAAATGGAGTCAATGGAGATCAGATGTGCGTTCACAACAAGATGGAAAGCCTCCACAAAACATGATCCTAATCAAAGCTACTCTGACAGGCTCCATATTGCTTCTCTTTCCCAGAGAAACAGGCAGTGCCATGTTGTCTTGAAGCAGTTAAGCAATACAAATAATGTATTCTAGATTAAATTTGATTAGGCAGTGGTAGAATTCAGACTTGCTTGGTTGTTCAGATAATTTGCTTACAAACCACATCCTGTTATGCATTCATGGTGTTCATTTGTCATTTAAATAGCTGGAAGTTGCTGGGCAATGGGAGAGCTTGCAACCTTACTTCTCACTACAGGATTTTTTTTTTTCTAATACACGCTCTAGACTTCTTCCTCTGTTTCTCCTCATTACTTCTGTTATGGTCCTTTTATTCACAATGGCAACTTTCTCCTGTTTCTGTCTGACACTTGAATTGTTTGATCTCACTTTTGCTCAACCTATATGGAATACTGCTCTTCTAAATTAAGTCTGTCAGCTGCTTGCTCTTTCTTGCAGAACTCCTCCTCGTCGTTATTCTGTGTATAACTGGTGGTCTGAGTTCAGTGCAGCACAAGACGTGTCAGTGATGGGGATGGTTGCATCCCTATTGCTTCTTGTGGGATCTGGCTGCTGCACGCCAGCATTTCGCTGAGCTGTCATCACATCCTGAATATACTTTGTGTTGCCAAACTGATTGGATATATCGGGGATACTCGTTCTGATAAGCATTCTTCAAATTTATGCACATCTTTGAATCAGATCTAGATTTTTAACAGGACTGCTCAGCCTATTATTGTGCAGAATAGGAAAGAAATTGGATCTGTCTCACTTCTGAAACTTGGTTGTACCTGTTATGTAATGGGTATCATTTAATCTATGTTTACAGTTGCAATCTATCTCAAAACACAAATTTGTATCTTAGATGCTGAGCAAATCAGGCTGCTTTTGCTGTTCAGTGCCAGAGGCAGCATGAGGGTAGGTTGAGGAATAGCAAAGCCGCAGCTAGGTTTCGGATAGAAGGCAACAGAAGCATCACACTGGTGCCTGCTAGGAAAAGCTTCATGTCTGAGTGCTGTTGGAGGATGAAGCCTTTGAGTGATCCATCAGCAGAGCATGATGTTGCCGTGCTGACACTCGTGCTGCTGACAATGCACTGTCTTCATTGAAGCAATATATTGACTGGATGTCAGAGTCCACAGGTAGCAAGTTGCAAGGGCTGGGACTTGAGGGAAAGACAGGATACCTGGTTTTGGTTATCTGAAGCATGGCCTGTTCTCATAATCTTTTAACTATTGCAGTGCGTCTTTGGTCCATGTAGTATAATTCAGAATGGCTTCGCCATTTAATTCAAGTCTTTTTGTCTGTCTGCTTAATATGATCAAACTACATGATTAGGAATTTTGTGACAGAAATGAGCCGTGTAATGTGACTGAAGGTAAGCAATACGTGTTGAGATAAATGCCTGGTATTAAGATTGCAGAGTACCTCTGCGTACCTGCGCTGTTGATGTATCTGCTATAATGTGACTGAATAGTTAAACACAAACATGGAAAACTTGTAACCCAGTAGGGTTAGGTGTAAGGAGTTGGGAACTAATTGGAGGGATGAAAACAATTCTAATAATGTTATAGGTCTTCAACAGCCACGGGTCTGGATGACGAAAGGTAACAATTCAGTTATGTATTTCCACCTTAATTCTGAACACCTCTGTGTCTTCTAGCTCCCTGGGCATTAGTTGGGTAGAAAGCAAAATAACACATTTACAGTTCACAATTCTGTGGAAATCCTTATTGCAATAATAACTAGGGAGATGTTGAGAAGCAGTGCTGGCTAGGTGTTTTCAAATTCTTGAGAACAAATAGCTTGTGCCCAGTACCATTGGATTGGGTCATGTGCATGGTCTAAGTTGTTGTTTCATGAACATTGGGAAAATACTGAGCAATCGGAAAAAATAACTGTGTCCATGTAGTGGTAGGTTGGCAATCTTGACGCTGGAACAAGACAGAATCAGGGGGGCTGCTGATGGGTTTGCTGCCAGTATGAAAGGATGACAGAGTAACTCATGCATCTCAGCATTATGATTTTAATGAAAATTGCTGGAGTTAAACACACGTTGAAATCTGATCTATTTGAAGAAAGTATATATTACAAAATAGACTTTAGGCCTTCTGGTATAACTTTGGACATGATCTGTTGCACAACAAGCAGTACAAAATCACTGTACACATAAAGTAGTTTAGCAACTGTCTAGATTATTTCAAAAGATAACTGCAATGGGGGGGAAGTTTTTGGTGTGCTGTGAGGATCTTTCTTGTCTTCTGGTAGGCTCAGTGACAGGCAGAGAATAAAGTTCCTGATAGTGTGAAGCAGACACAACTTTTGGAGGTTTGGGTTCTGGATTATAGCAAAGGCTCAATTTTAAAGAACAGTCAGGGTTGTTTAGTGAGGCTGTCTTAATGCCTTGTTTTAATGCATTTTAACATGACTAATTGCCAACACTGTACAGAAATCAATCACATTTGAAGGTAGTAGTCTTCATTCTGTGCTAGAATCAACTACAGAAGCTTCGAGTGGAAGGGCTAAGGGCTAGCCTCTGACCTGTTGATGTATACAGCAAGGAATAGCAAAGAGCCAGTATGCTGTCTCTAGTTGTGGTGTCAACTTGCGGGGGAAGGGGGGGGCCATGTGTGAAAAGAGCACCAGGGTAATTTTGGGTTCTAGAAATCTTACATAGTCTATCTGACAGGGTACATAAAGCTTATCAGTTAATATTTTAAATCTCTACTGTATTTGAATCTTTAATACACGGAGATCGAAACAGGTCTCTTCTGGATCCCTGAAGCTGGAGAAAGCGTGTTGTAGCATAGATTACTTATTGCAGTTGTGCGTCAGAAACAACCAGCACGTGATTACAAATACTTGGACAGCCAGACCTTAACCCTGATGGACTCTGGTTGCTGAAAGATACTTCTAGCCTTTAGGACATCTGGATAGATGTTTCTAGAACACCCCACACCATCATTCTCCCTTATTTTTTTGGGGGTGGGTATTTACTGTCTGCTCCTGAACAGGAAAATACTGGTACATTTCATGTGGAAGGCTGTTCTTGCAGCATTAATAAATATTGCTCTCTTCTTAAATAAAAGGTAAGTGCATTTGAGTTGCTGGACTTAGTGTGTGGGGTGGGTTTTGGTGGTGTGGGTGGTTTTTGTTTTTTTTTTTTTTTTTACCTCACTAGGTGGAGATACTTTATTGGTTTTCTGTCTCTTGCTCTAGGCGTGCAATGGAACTGAGTTTTGCTCTTGTTAATGGGAACAATGTCCGTGGAATGATGAAGGAGTTGCTGTATTTCCTAGATTCCTGTGAACCAGAGTTCAAGGCAGACTGTGCATCTGGAATATTTCTTGCAGCTGAAAAGTATGGGGTCAATTTACTTGCTATTAATTTTTTGTCCATCCTTGGAATTATGAGCATTTTGTGTGTTGTTCCTCCCCCTCCTCACCCCCCAAGAGATAATGGTGATCATCTCTTCATTTGCTGATGTGTGCGTGGTTTGTGGTTTTAACCCACTCTGAGGAACAGGACACACAAGTGTGTTGCGTATGGATAGTCCTCATATCGCTGAACCAGTTTAGTATATTGATTTCTGCTGCACTTTGCAACAGGTTTGTGCTGACGTCCTGGCCCTATGGCCCCTCCACACACACAGATTCTCTCTGGTTAGTTGTGAGATGATCTCATTTTAATCAGCAGCCTGACTTTGAAGTATTGTACGTGCAAGGTATGGCTGTGCTATATTACACAGACCTGTATATTCACTCAGCTTTCCGATGTCGGCGGTAATACAAAAAAAGTCAAAGAACGTGAAGTGTGTGGTGTTTTGTTTTGTGGGGCTTTTTGGGTGTGTTTTGCTGGTGTCCCCCTCAGGAAGCAGTGGAGCAGGAAGTAACTGAAGGGGGAGGTTCTGATGATGATGGGTTTTTCTTGCTGGTGTTGAAGGCTAGTGGTTATTGCTCTAACTTGTTTTCTTAATTTTGTCAGATATGCTCCTTCCAAACGTTGGCACATAGACACAATTATGAGAGTCTTAACAACGGTGAGTGAGATTGCATCTCTTGTGTGTGACTACATAAAATTTTTTTAATTCAGTAGGAAGTTACACATCATCAGGTTGGAGATGTCTATAAAGGCTGGCAGATAACAAATGCTGCAATACACAGAGGAATTGTACTTAAATGGTAGTGACCCCAGGCAGCCAGTCAGAAATATGTAAACTCAGTAAATATGACTGAGTGGGGTTTTTTAGGAGAAACATATGATTTCAGAAGCACACAAGAATATGGTGTGTAGCAGTGGGTTTTTTTTCTCTACTGCAGTAATCACATTAGCTTCTCTCGTGCTGTCTGTGATTCCAATGTACAGTGCTTTCAGGGGAGAGTCAACGCAGCCTTATGTGACTGGCAAAGAGACAGGGGGTGAAATAATTTCTTGGAGTTATTCCAGGTTTGAGTTTATCAAAGCTTTTTTAATGAAACTGTATCAACAGCTTTCTAGTTCCTCTTCTTTGGGTTTAATTATTGCTCTTTACCTACATGAATTTCTTTATAAACATCATAGCTGAGGTGAACCTGCAGTAGTGTTTTGGCAAACAAGAGAAGAGATCTTGATAGCTTGGGTAGGCAGTGTGTTCCTCGAGGCAAAAGAATGGAAAGAGATTTAGTTTATCAGTACTAGTGTTCAAATTCGAGAAGTTCATTCAGAAGCAGGTCTGGCTTGTGTGCTATTTTACCACCCTGAAACAGAGAAAAGTAGATTCCTCTGAACTGAGAATTGATTTCCAATAGAAGGTTGGCTGTGAGAATTGCTCTCAGATTACTTCCTTCAATAAAATAACTTCCTTCTCTTGGCTGCTAGAGAAACATTTATAAAGCTGTATTCATTACACTACCTACTGTGGGCTCTTACAGATAAATGCCCTTTTCAGTTTAGCAGACTTACGAGAACTAACACAGAAAGATGGCATCAGCCATCTTTGGCTAGGCGGATTCCCACTTAGCTGACCTGATTGGGCTCACTTAATTACCTTCTTTTTGCATGCTCTACTCTCAGTGCCAGAGGAGTGCCTAAACAGAACAGGTTTTGAACAGTGTACATCTTCCCTTCAGTGCCAAAGCTGTGTGATTGTGTATTGCCCCACATTGTGTATTGCCTGGCCTTAAGGTGGGCTTTTCCCTCTGAGCTCTGTATTCCTGTCCTCTAACCAAAGACTGATATGCAGGCAAGTTCCTGGATCCTGTGTTTATTTGGCATAGAGCCTGGCTTTGAGCAAGTGACTGAATAAGCTGCATTCTACCCCCAGGGTGTCTTGGACTTAAGGCCTTCTGTTTAACAGGGGAGTTTTCTATGTTGCTCTTTTTTCCTTCTGTAGCACAGGCTTCTTATGCCCACGCTCTGTCCTCTTGACAACTTCAGGACATCTGTAGTATGGGTATAGTTGAGCTCATTGGGAACGTGCTGACCTGTACTTCTACCTGTCTGAGCCTGCTCTAAACCAACCATAAAGTGCTTGGGGATGAGGAGGTTGATTGTTATTTCCACGCACATCGGGTGGCCTTTGTGAAGGATATCAGCAGATGCTGGGTGTTACGGAGAAGTTGGACAGTGAACCTAACAACTTTTATTTGTCTCTCAAATACATAATTGTTCTTGCAGGCAGGAAGTTATGTTCGTGATGATGCTGTTCCCAATCTGATTCAGCTAATAACTAATAGTGTGGAGATGCATGCCTATACTGTGCAGAGACTCTACAAAGCCATCCTTGGTGATTACTCCCAGGTAATACCAAACATGACTAGCCAGCTTCAGTTTCCTTGTTGTAGTGCAATAAGCATGTTTACTAAGCACCTTCAGGTAAATCAACATCACGCTGTCTAACTCCAAGGGGCAGATTGCAGAGGAGGCATGTCTCCTATAAGCTCATGTTCTTTTTGTTTTCTTAAATTCTCTTCAGGAAGTCTTGATCAAATCAAATATTCCTGTTTCTTCTGCTGTGGAGAACTTCCTTGGCTGGAAGGAGGGCTATACTTGCTCTGGGAAATTGTTATGGTTTAACTTCTCATACATTTATCTCTGAAGCATCTGATTTTTTCCTTCTAACAGCAGCCCTTGGTGCAAGTGGCCTCTTGGTGCATAGGAGAGTATGGAGATCTTCTGGTGTCTGGTCAGTGTGAAGAGGAGGAACCGATACAGGTATAGCTTGGGAAAGAATGACTGTGTACCTGGCTGAGGCTGGAGCTGTTTGATGCTGGCTATGTGAGGGCAATGCTTGCAACAGTTACTTAGCACTGGTGTCCATGATGGTGATGGACCCTGGACAGGAATCTCCTTCCCATGCTACAGGCATGGACTACATTAGACACTCTCTGCGAGGAGTGCAGCTCACAGCAGCAGAGCAGTGTGGTTTCAGTGCTAACCTAGCTTGCAGAGTATCTGCTAGGATCTTAGCTGTGTATTTTGGTGATAAACCTGCTCTTCAGTGTATGGAACAGGAACTGTATTTTTGTAAGTTCTCTACCTAGATGCGTCTGTGTCTCACGCGCTCTGAACATATGCTACAGGCTCACGAAGTTGGGGACGTGGCCATTAGGCGAGAGACAGGTTTTTACAGTATGCCCTGGAAGGCTTGCTGCAAAGCTGCTCTCTGTCTCAGCCTAACCCTTCTGTACCTTTTCAGGTAACAGAGGATGAAGTTCTTGATATTTTAGAAAGTGTCCTGATATCAAATATGTCTGCATCTGTTACACGAGGCTATGCTCTCACTGCCATCATGAAGCTTTCCACAAGGTTCACCTGCACAGTCAAGTGAGTTCTCATTGATGTTGTACCGCACGTGGCTTTCTTACAAATACACTGGTATCAGCTGTCTTCAGTAGGAGTCCTTGGACACGTTTCGATTCCATCGTTTACAAGAGTTGTGTTGTTATTTTTTGGCTTTTACAGGCCTCCTTTGCAGGGTGGAAGATTTGCACTGATTTGTACTGCTTTCTCTGTGCATGTCCTCTACTGTGTAGGGACTTAATCTGTGGTGCTGTTGCTTGAAAGCTCCTTTATGGGGAAGATAAGTCCTTACTTTCAGTGGCCTCTTCTTTGCAGTTCCTTTTTCAGATGATGGAGAGAAAAATAGTCTTCTTTCCTACTGATGGCTTCTTGCTGTGGGTAGTTGAGTTTTCTTACGATATACCTTGTGGTGATATGTTAATCACCTGCTGATGCTGTTGTGAAGAGACAGTTCAAAAATGGATACTGCAACGAAGCTGGTGAGGGGTCTGGAGCACAAGTCTTGGAGCGGTTGAGGGAACTGGGGTTGTTTAGCCTGGAAAAAAGGAGACTGGGGGGAGACCTTATCACTCTCTACAGCTACCTGAAAGGAGGCTGTAGCGAGGTGGGTGTGGGTCTCTTCGCCCTGGTAACGGGCAATAGGACAAGAGGAGATGGCCTCAAGTTGCGCCAGAGGAAGTTTAGATTGGACATCAAGAAAAATTCCTTCCCCGAAAGGGCTGTCAGGCACTGGAAGGGGCTGCCCAAGGAAGGGGCCGAGTCCCCATCCCTGGGGGTATTTAAAAGCTGGGCAGACAAGGTTCTTAGGGACAGGATTTAGTGGTGGGATGGCAGGGTTAGGGGAACGGTTGGGCTTGATCTTAAAGGTCTTTTCCAACCTCAACGATTCTATTCTATAGATATTTAAAACAGCAGTCACTGCTGTTTTCACAGAATGGGTTACACTGGACACCTGTTGAGCAAAGGCCAGATAGTGTCTTTGGGATGATATGCTAATCCATTGCTTATTGCTGCTAATTCCATGGTGTGTTTTTTTGTTTTGTTTTGTTTGTTTCCCCCCTATCCTCACACAGTCGCATTAAGAAGGTAGTTTCCATTTATGGCAGCAGCATTGATGTGGAGCTACAGCAGAGGGCAGTGGAATATAATGCACTTTTCAAGAAATATGATCACATGAGGTAAGTGCTGATGAGTTTTGGTGTTTGAAAAGGATCATTATAATCTACTCTGATATCCTGTGTACCACACTTTGTGCTTTGAGAGTTTTGTCTGGTGATTTTGGCAGGATTACAGAGGAACTCGTATCCCTCCCTCCCTCACCTCTAGGGTTAGTGGGTGTTTTAAGAACTTAACATAACCTGGGAGACTGTTCTGTGATCAGGGACTTTCCCTGCCAAAACATTTGCCCTGCTTTGAGCTTTAACTTGACTAATTTTTACTTCTAGGTGTTAAATCTTAAATTTGCTAACTGAGTGTCTACAGGTAGCTTTTACCATGCTAGCATTACACAGTCATTAGGTTCAAACTGATTTTGAAATGTCTTTGGAATAAACATGCAGAGATCCATTGACCTGTCCTCCTAAGCTGTGCTCTGAACTTGAGGTAATTCTTCCAACTGTTAATGCTTTTCGGTTTTTCAGAACATCTTTTAAATTTACTGTATCTTCTTGTAGAATCTGTTTAAAACCTCAAATTCTGCAGGCAAAGGCATGCTGCACCACTCAGCATCCATGGTCTACCATTTGTGAGCATGCTAACCTCCTTACATCTTATCGTTGAGAGGTCCGCATTCATCATTGCTTTGCTGGAGTGATTGCTTCTTTGAGAAAGTTAGAACCCTGCTTTGTTGCAATAATTAAAGCTGTAACTCTTTGCAGAATAGTCACTAATCTGCTATGTGCAATAGTTAATTGTTGATACATAGGAGCACCACAGATTCTATTCAGTGACGATCATAAGATTGGAGATCATCTGGGGATTAACTTCATTCATCCTTAAAAACTTCCCGTAAGATTCCATTGGATGGAGGAGCATCCATTTGAGCCTAGACGAGAGGACAGAGAGAAAATGGGTGCCACTAAATATTGCCTGTGTTTGTAGGGGGCTCCAAACCTTCTTTCAAAGGCTCTTCGCAGTTGCTTTTTTCCATAGGTATCATCCTATTCACTATGTGTAGGACACAACATCCTTGTGATTTCCTCTTTTCTCTCCTTCCATGGGATCCACACAGCAACTCAAATTGTTCTTGGAAAAGTCACGTTAGTTCCCCTGCATTGGAGCTAAAAGGAAAAGGCAGGTTGCTCTGTGTATATCATCTCCTGAATGTCTGAGTATTTGGATTGGGATCCAGGAAGATGGCACAGTGTAACTATGTCAGCTTCTTTCAGGCCAGCCCTGCTTGAGAGAATGCCAGTAATGGAGAAAATCACCACAAATGGCCCAACTGAGATTGTACAGACCAACGGAGAGACAGAGCCAGCAGTACTGGAAACCAAGCCTCCACCCTCTGGATTGCAGCCTGCTAGCCAGGTAATGGAAACTGATCTGGGATAAGTTTACACTGCCTGTCAGACCACACTACTAGCCGCTGCCAACAGTAAACTGAGACCATCTCCCTCCCCCTCCGTGGCCTGGTGACGATTGCATCATCTCTCTACTCTGATGGCTCTAGTGTCAAGAACGGGTGTGTGGAAGAGGTCATTGTGGGGAGTGCAAGAGCAGGGAGGGGTAAAGCCCTACATCCCCCAACCTGCTTCAGTGTGCAGGAACTTCACCCTTCTCTGTATCTGTGGTCCCAAGAGCATGGATGCTGGATCTCTCGTGGGGCGTGGGACCATAGCCAAACTAAGAACCTCTCTGACTGGCCAGCAGCTCTATTGGTCTTCAGTCTGAGAGCAGGTAGAATCCATGAGATTTGCAAGGGAAAGTAGCAGGAAGTTGAATATGTAACTATTACATCTGCTCTCTCATTAGGCAAATGATTTGTTGGACTTGCTGGGGGGAAGTGATATAACACCTGTAATCCCCACTGCACCTACAAGCAAGCCAGCCTCTGCTGGTGGGGAGCTCCTTGATCTCCTGGGAGACCTCAACCTGACAGGTGAGCAGGCTGCATCTCTTAAAAGTCTACATTTTCAGTCCTGGGGTGGGATGAGGGCTGACTAGTTCTTCACTTTCTATCAAATCCTAGTCTTCACACTTACTCTTACCAAGATCTGTATTAGCATACAGGTGGGAGTCAGGGAATGAAGTCACAGGCTGACTCTGCATGATTAGCTGGTGAGACTTGAGCATTTCCACACTCCAGCCTGGGAATGCTGTGGGCCTTTCCAAAGAGTGTTGGGAGATGTGAGGAATTCATTCCATTTGAATGCCTGCTAGCTCAAGAGGAGCCAGTCCTTGTTAGTGAAAGTAGGGAAGGAGGAGGATGACAACACAGATGATTTGTAGAGCTTCATGTAAAGAAATATGATATGCAGCAGTTGATCTTTGGAGAAGTAGTGATTACTCTTCGTTTCATGACAGCTATGTAATAATCCTTCAACATTTCTTGTAGGTTCTCCTTTTGATGGACTTTCATCGCAGCCTCTCTTCAACGATATTGCTGCAGGTTAGGGCCTGTAAAGCCTTTGCCTAAGGTGCTGCAGCACCCAACTAGAAGAGGAAAAAAGGGGTAGTAAGAAAAAGGGGGATTTGGGAGTGAAGTGTGGCACAGACACTGGAGCGGGGTGTGTGTGTGTTTAATCTTCAGAAGATTTCATGTCTTGGGTAAAATAAATGTGTTCTATGATGTTGAAAATTATCCAGATCCTGTAGATCTACTGCTTTTTTGTTTTCTGCAGGAATCCCCTCAATTACTGCATACAACAAGAATGGGCTGAAGATTGACTTCACCTTTGAGAGGTCAAACACCAACCCTAGTGTCACTGTAATCACGATACAGGCCTCCAACAGCACAGAGCTGGAGATGACAGATTTTGTTTTCCAAGCTGCAGTACCAAAGGTAGAGCCACTTAGGGCAACTACAGTGATGGGTTGAGGGCCAGCTGCAAACACTTCCTGATCCACACTTTCGTGTAGACAGAAACTTGCAGCACGGTAAACAAGTCTAAGAGCTGTCTGTAGGTTCTCGCAGTGCTCCGTTTGGTCATCTCTCTCTAGGCTGAAAGTAAATGTTGTACATGCAATAGAACATTGGTTCCTATCAGATTGGACGACTACTGCTTGGACAAAATCTTGTTTTAAAATCACCACTTTCTAGGAAGGTTGCTAACCCATACACAGAAAAATGTTGGGTCAAAATAAAAAGTGAAGACATTAATCTTTCCCCTTAATCTTAGTTTCTAAGAAATATACCGTGCTCTTTGCAGCTATGAATACATGAAAAAACCTTTTGAAGCTATTTAGCTGCTTATAAGAGTTCAAATGAGTCCCCATATGGCAATTAGTGACGGTCCTCCTTTAAGCAGTGAATTGTATCTGCTTGCATTTAGCTGCAGCATGAAATATGGGAGACAGATACTGCCTAGGTTATGGTAGAGCAGATTATTTAAGCAGAGTGTGGTTGGAATGTTCTTCCAGTTTGAGAAAATACATTCACTTCTGGGGATTTTCTCTTCTAGGAATTAATAATGCTCTAATTTTAATTTGGGTAGGTTTCATACCTGCCATAGGAAGGAAT